TGACGGCTCTGGCGAAACAACGCCAGAAGAAGGAAGCCCGACCGAAGGACTTCGAGGGTGGTGATAGGGAACGGCTAGATCGGGCCATCCTCAAGGAGATCAACAATAACCTGGAGACCGGCGCCTACAAGATCCTTTCCCTCAAGGAGTCCCAAGAGATTCTCCACAACAAGCCCGAAAAGGTTATGGAGTCCCGCTACGTCCTCACCAAGAAACCATTGGAGCCGGCAGACATCTCCAAGGCCCGAGCTGAAGGACTACTACTTGACGACAAGCAGCATGGACCAGTGAAGGCTAAATGCCGTCATGTCATGAAGGGCTTTTCAGAAGAAGCAGCATTGGATGTAGAGAGTACGACACCCCAGGTGAACCGAGACTCCGTCATCTTCGTCACCCAGGTTTTGGCCAGCATGCAATGGTGCCCTGGTTTCCTTGACTTTACTCAGGCCTTCCATTCAGGGGACAAGATCAATCGTGAGTTGTACTGCCGACAACCGGCAGAAGGCATTCCCGGAATGCACCGGGACCAGATACTGATGCTGTTAAAGACCTGTTATGGTCTTACGGACGGCCCATACGCATGGTATCAACATCTTTGCCGGCGACTACGAGAAATGGGCTACCAGACCAGCAAGTCCGACCCCTGCGTTTTCTTTCTCCACGAGAAGGAGGACTCAGGCAGAAGGAACCTCGAAGGAATCATTGGGCTGGCCACGGATGATATGCTGCATGGAGGGACCCAGAAACACTGGGACAACATTCAAAAGATTGCGGAAGAATACAAGCTCGGCAAGAACCAGAAGGGCAAGGGCCGCTTTACCGGCAAGGACATTGCCCTACAGCCTGACGGCTCCATCCTCATCGACCAGGAGTTCTACGTGAAGGAGAAGGCCGAAAAGATTAAAATTCCTCGAAGGAGGAAACAACAAAGGTTTTCTCGTTGCACGCCCGACGAGGTGGAACAGTTGAGGAGCCAGCTAGGAGTTCTCTCCTGGCTGGCGAAAGAGACAAGGTGTGATCTGGCAGGCCGGGTTTGTCTACTTCAGCAATGTTTTCCGGAGCCCAAGGTTGCCGACCTGATCGAGTGCAACAAGATCATCGAGGAGGCTATCCAGCACAGCAAGTTGGGCATCCGAGTGATGCCTATAGACTGGAGAAACCTAAGGGTTTCCGTGGTCACTGATGCGGCCTGGGGCAACTCGCGAGACCAATTGTGGATTGAGAACTCCGAGGAGGACTTCTGGGAAGAGACATCTACAGAATGGGTTCGCCATCACAAGACGCCGCGAAGAACAAGTTTCCATCCAGGAGCGGCTCAAGGAGGACCTGATCTTCATCAGATTTCTTCCAGACGACGGACAGAGATGTTCGTTGACCACGCCCAGGCCGGGATCAAAACTAAGGTTTCCGAGGACACATGGAACGACGACAAGGGCATCAGGGTTCTGGATGAAGAGCCCTGGCGCGGAACTACAAGGTTTCGTAAGTGCTCCAGCGAGGAGCCGGCTGTTCAGAAAATACACTCAAGTTTACAACAACTTCAAAACTTGAGTAGCCAAGCTGGACAGATAATCTTGTATCATGATCGGTCACTGGCAGATGGTGGCGTGGAGGCCCTGGCTACATTGGCAGCATGGAAAAGCTTCAGACTGAAGAGGAAGACGGTGGACACCTTGGCCGCGGAGGGCCA